GTTTTTGTTGTTGTCTCATACTTTTAGATACGCTGTTATTTGTAAATGCTACTGCTCATGTTAGCTTTTAATATACAGTTTTATCCTGATTAAAGCTTTAATACAGTAAGGCAACTGCACACGCGTCCATGTTTAACACTTCTCATAGCTATGTGAAAATAAGTGTATATTATAAGTGTATATATAAGTGTAAGTGTATAAGAGAGAGAGAGAGAGAGAGATGCAGAGCGTGTGCAGAGCAATATATATATATATATATATATATATATATATATATAAATAAATAAATAAGTTGAACTAATGTGTGCTGATGGCCATTGTAAAGACTGTAAGTCTATCCCTCACAGCCTGCTTTTCATCCGTCTTAAATTCAATACGGTGTCTAAACTGACTAAGGTCTATAGTATGTGCACTATGCTTAAGCAAATTTTTTGTAGGCATGGAATACTTGGATTAATTAAGTTTCCCAAAATATGCACTGTACAACACAGCATATGTCCAGAAAAAACTGCTGTCACTAGGATGGTACCCTTCCAAAAGGTACCTTATTTAGCCTACTCTTAAAAGGGTAGTAGTACCTTAAAGGTACATATTATTACCTCAAGTGTACAAATTAGTATGTTGTAAATGGTGTATATTAGTACCTTTTGAAAGGGCACCACCCCAGTGACAGCTTTTGTACAATTTTTTCAATGTTTTCTTGTAATGTGGTATCCATCAGTCCAATGCTCTCAGTTGACCTTGACCATGTCATATGAGTGCTTTTGGCTGCTTTTACTGCCTTTACTTGCCACTCGCAATTAAAAATTCATTGTGATGACGTCATGTAACAAACAGTGATGTCATGTGCCATCAAAGTTGTACTGACATAGTACTAACCAAATAAATAATTTGTGACATGCGCATATTATTTAAAAAAAAGTACAATTCCGCTACATGCTACAATACTACTTTTTTAAATAATACAGTACGGTATAAAGAATCCAAATGTCATAATTTATCAAAAGTAGTCAGTTTATTTATTTAATTTATTTATTTGATTCACAGAGTCATTTAAATCACAGCAAATGTTATATTTATCAATATAATCATGTGGATTTGTGCATTTTTTTTTCACAAACACAAAATATTGTAATATGAATACGAATATGAATATGAATACTTAATAGAGCTTCAGGCCTGCTTTATGGTGTCACTGCATTTTATGGATTGTATCGAGAACACTAATGTGTGCATGAGTGTGTGTTGAGAGGAGTGCAGCAGTCTTTTATCAGGATTTTCATCATATTTGTGGTGTTAGTTTGTGCCTCTTGGGCTTTTGTCTCCAAATGCTCAATTTCAAACGAACTCAGGGATTAAACATACGTCTGTGTGATTTATACCACATTAGATCTGACGGAGGCGGTTCCAGAGACCGAACGACTTGACAGCAGTCTACAGAAAGCCAAAGCACAACTGTCAATCAAAACCAGGAGGCATCGGCCCTCCCGAACCCGCCTGAGAGACAGCGTGAGCTCGATAGATGGAGATGACAGCATTGATAGAATGGTGTGTGTATGTTATAGATTTCATACATCTGACTGAATGAGTAGTTCACCCAAAAATGACAATTTTGTCATGTGTCATGTTATTTACTCACCCTCTTGTCATTCCAAACTCATATGCTGTTATAAGAGCCGTCACCATACACTTATTTTTGTTGATGGAGCGACAATCCTGACTCACTTAATGCCCTACAGGTGAGAAAAGAATTAGATAGTCGTAATAAGCACTATAAATAAGCATATATAAAAATACAGTAAAAACAGTTAAATTATAGAATATTAATACAACATAAAATAACTGGTATCTATTTAAATATATTTTTAAAAATGTAACTTATTACTAGCAAACCTTCATTTTAGCAGCTATTACTCCAGTCTTGAGAGTTACATTCTGAGACACTGATGTGGTGCTCAAGACACATTTCTTATTTTCTCTATTGAAAATAGTAGAAAACCATGCAACATTTTTAGATGATGTTTAGATTTAAAAAAGTTCAAAATAATTAATTTATTGAAATTGAAATATTTTGTAAAAAATTATAAAAGTCTTTAATGTCACTTTTGATCTATTTAATGCATCCTTCTTAATAAAAAAGTATTAAGCTCTTTATTGGAATTATTCATGCTGCTTTTTGGTGGTCATTTTTGGAGCTTAACAGGCATGGTCAATAAAAAAAGATTTGCGTGATTTATTTTTATTTTTTTCTTGATCGATAATTGATCTTTTTGTGTGTGTGTGTGTGTGTGTGTGTGTGTGTGTGTGTGTGTGTTCCACAGAAGAAAAAATAACAGCATATGTGTTTTTAATAGTTTATATTTTATGTTAAGTTTTAGTAATTTTGTAGTCATTTTTGTTATTTGTGTAAGTTTTCTTTAATATGTCTATATAGTTTTAGTTTTAGTTATTGTAGTACATCAAGTTAACCTAAATGAAAATGAGAAATGTTACTTTGGCAACCAGCTGAAACAAAATGTTTATACTTTTCAAAAAATAGTATTTTTATTTGATTTCATTTAATGGTTATTTTATTTCAAGTAACAATATTTATTTATTTATTTAGTTTTAGTTTCAGTTGACCCTAAAAAACACGCATTCATGTGAGTCTCATGGGATATGATATGTCATTGTGTGTGTCTGCGGTCTAGAGTTATGGCGGCTCCGTGCAGACCTCCTCTTCACCAATCCACCCTTCCTTTCGCTGCTCCTCCCCCTCCTCTGACCTGCTCCTTTCCTCCCCTTCCTCACGGAGAGACCAAACATTCACCTTTGACCCCTACGCTGTGGTTGGAGAAAGGGAGGCACAAGATGAAAGACGGAGCTACAGGCACCTCCTGAACACTTCCTCTCAAGAGGCTTTGCCCCTCACCCCATCTAAGTCTCCCTCCAGGCCCTGTGTCCATTCAGAGACATCTTCCCCTGCCCATCTTTGTCAGGCGGACCACGTCAAGTCACGTGAGGGCAGCCAACCCCTTCTACACTATGGAGAATACTCACAGAGCGAAGGTTTGAACTGCATACGAACATCTCATCTAATGGAATATCATAAATATCATTAACTTGGACAATAAATGTGAATTCTGATTCTGAAATTAATTTGATTCTTAAGTGATTCTGATCCTGATTCTGACTCTGATCTGGATTCTAATTTTGAGCTTCTATTCTGATCTGGACTAAATTCTGGGCCCAGTTTTTCAAAACTTTTAATCTGGATCAGAAGGATTCATATTTGGAAATCCCCTGTTTTGCTATCCTGGATCAGGTAAACATTCTTACTTTTGTGCTTTTTTTTCAAAGCAACATTGGATTAGATCACCATGATCCAGATACAAACTTTTCCAGATCACTGAATCCAGATTACCAGTGCTCTAAACGGGACTACATATCACAATGTAGGATACATTTTTAAAGTTTGAAATGTTGTTCCTGAAATCCACTGATATATAATCCTGATGTTTTTGGATCAGAAGTATCACAATCCAACTAAAAAGTTTCGAACAACACACACTAAAGGTTTGATCCAGATCAAAACCAAGACTGGATTACGTGATCTAATCCAATTACATTTTTTTTCTTTTGAAGATATGAACCCATCTGATAGCAGAAATCCATTTTCTGAAATATGTTTTCCCATTTACAGCTCTGGAAATTCAGATTTGTTAATCTGGAAAATTGGTAATATGGATGATCCAATCAAATTTGCTGTGTAAAAAAAAAAAAAAACTTTATCCTGGATAGCAAAACATAGGATTTTCAGATCTGCATCATTCTGATCCATATTAAATGTTACAAACACCTGGGCCAGATTCTGATCGGGATTCTGATGCTCATTTTGATGATCTGTTTTCAGACGACAGTCATGACACAGGCCCTGATGAACCTGATAGTCCAACGGTGCTGCTGGACAAGAAAACCAGGAGACGTTTTCTTGATCTGGGGTTAGTATCCTACAAGTTTCGAACTACAAAAAATCAGCAATTAAATGTTTTAGATGAAGGTTGGTCTATTTATCCTGTTTCTTTAACCACAAACTTTGTCTTACCTTGAGCTTGCTAACTATATGTATATACATTTTGGAAGATTTTAAATGTTAAACATGCAGGGACAACTATAATTAAGCAATTTGTAGATATACCCTAGTAAAAAAGTAATATATTTAAAATAGATTTATTTCACGCTAAGTATAGTTCAAATCTATTTCTATATAGTCTATATAGTTCAAATCTATACTTGTGCTTGAACTATTTCCTGTGGCTCAGTGGTAGAGCATTGCATTAGCAGCGCAAAAGGTTGTGGGTTCAATTCCCAGGTGTAAGGTCCACGCACTTGGCCCAAGGAAGGTATCCAGTGGTGACTGAAGGTTTCTTGCGTGTTCAGTCTTTTCAGCGCGCAAAGTTATTCGATTTTAAATTCAATTCTAATCTGACTCCATTTTATTATCTAATCTGACTCCATTTTAGTATGACCTCGAATTTAGGTTGAAAGGCAAATTGGTTGTTTGTCTGTCTCTAATTATTGCTATTATTCTGACATTTGGTTATTCTAGTTAACTCTTTACTTTATATTTACTCGTTCATTAGGAATCTATATCGCTCAGGGTGCCTCACATCGGCTGTTTTACGTGGGCCCCACGATCACAAACTCGCCAGTCTGATCATTAGCCAGAGGTTATGACTAATACTATTTAATAGGTTGCCCCTTGCTTACCATTCTTTAAATAGTAGTTCTGTTTAGCCCCCTACAGTTACCCATGTACAACTTAATTAAAGCTGAGACAATTACCAGCGGTTATGACCAGTACTATGACTAGTCCCCCATAGTTAATGTAACGGAGTACAACTTAACTAAGGTCAAGCAGTTAGTCAGAAATCTATAATCTCACCTGATGCGCCCTATGCTCCATCTAACCTGAGATTTAGTATGCACTTAACCCTGGACGCAGATTTGCGGAAACATACGCCTTCACTTAATCTACTTGAGAAAATAATTTCAGAGTAAGTCAGAATAAATCAAATGTAACAATTTATTATCAGTCAGGTAAATATGTATTATGCCATTTACATAGCCAATTCAAAGATATCAAATCAATTCAAGACATCAAATTCTCAAAGACGAATCTAAGAGTAAGATGCATACCTGACTTTTAGAAAAATACATAGTATGAAGTGTATGGACACACTTCATACTACGGGCTTTCTGGCTACAGAATCGCGCCAACCCTTTTGCTGCAATCCTTTAAATACACAACCAAGATAAAACATCCCCCAAATGGAGGCATGTACAAACAATTGGATTTGCATTAACCCAGGTTCCAGACCTGGGTGGTTTACACCTCAATGGGAACAGAAGGTAATTTGCATGGAATGACCCTCTACAGTAATCAAAAAATCTCTTAACTCTTAGGATCTGTATTATCTTTTAGTCTACTTTGTAAGATTTAGACCATTGTACCACGAGCCCTGAGATAATTCAAATGACACCAAACATGACTGTAAATATCACTTGCATTCATGTAGAACATTATATTCTACCATTGACCATTCTGTGTGAGCTGAGTGGAGGGAAGGATGGGTGAGGGGAAGGAAGGGGATGAGGAGGAACCAGTGCATATGTGAGAGACGTTTTCCCGCATTTTCTCTCAGTGAGATGTGGAAACAGATGTCTGTATGTTAATGCACTGTGTGTGTATAGTCTGTCTCAGAAGATCAAAGTGTCTGAGGTTCTGTAATTCTTACACAGGGAACACACATACTGATAAGAAATGTATAGCTTGAATGCACTGTAAGTCGCTTTGGATAAAAGCGTCTGCTAAATGCATAAATTATTATTATAATTATTACTTGTGCACAATGCACATTTCTTTATGTTTAAGCCTAAAATGTGTTTTAATGTCACTATTGATGAGGATTGTTTAATCTTTGAATAATATTGGTCTTTAAATGCGAGATATTTAAAGTGTACCTGAAATATATTTGCAATAGTTCCACTTTAGCACAATCAAATATATTTCAGTATGTCTTTAGTTGGACCTCAGCACTACTTCTGCACAATTAAAGTGCATTAAGTACGAAATTAGTTGTACCAATTAAGCATACTTTAAGTATACCAGTTTAGTATACTAAAAGTCCAATTGCATTGTATTTTTAATAAGTACATAAACATGTAAATGTATAGTATACTTAGCATGAAATAAATGCATTTCAAATCCATTTTAGTATATTTATTTTTCACTAGGGTACTTTTTGACGACTGTAAACACTGTCCTGTATGTGAGAGCAATGATACAGCTGTAGTAGTGGCTTTAAAGGTTATCTGCTGGTTTTTCTGTGGGCAGGGTCACTTTACGTCGCACATATGGAAAGGTCAGGAAAGACAGATCCAACAGACTATCAGCAGGAACTCGGTATGTGTGTGAGTCTGTCCTGCATTTATTCAGCTAATGTCAGTAATCTAAGCACCAGTGTCTCCTTGCATACCTGACTGTACAGATGTAGATGTGTGAGGCATTTTGTGTGTTTGTATCCAGGGATTCAGAGAAAACAGAGAACCGGTCCTCGCGTTCCTCTGGTCCACCGTTTGTGCCTTTCTCCTGGTTCAGTGAAAGATTAAGAGGTTCTGGCTCCCCCAAGAACATCCAGTCCCCATCCAGACCTTTCACCCAGGTAACCTAACCTCAACTAGAGTCCACAAATTCTGTTATCGTTGTATGATGAACAATAAAGTGCTGCAGTGATGATGATTTTTACAAGCGAACCCGAAAGTAGAAAATTAGCTCTGTGACCTTCAAAAGTTGACTATTTTTATGATAACATTCACAAATGAGCACAGCTTTTATGAATTTTGAAGCATAAATACAATTGCCAGAAGTAAAAAAGCTAAAACATTTGCTATAAATGAACTTAACCATGATTTCATGACTCATCACCATTAAACTTATGACAACTCTTCGGTCTTTAAGAACATTTTCCTTGAAAGTTTCCCTGAGAATTATAATAGTTTGCAAGAGCATGGTTCTAAACACATTGAGGCTGTAAAAGTGGACTAGTGAGTAGATGAGTTCACCTGTTCTCCAAAAACCTCCCATTTAGCCATTTGTTAGCAACCACCCTTTTCGAATCAAGTGAAAACTTAAAAAAAAAAAAAATCACAAAGGGGTATTACTGATGTATTTTATGTCATATAAAAAAAGCTTGTGTTAACCAGACCTTATTTCAAGCATTTAACCAAAAACCCATTCAAAACTACAAATAATTGATATTTGGATGGTGGAACCAAAACTGCTAAAATGCTAACTCGTTTCCAGGTTTTATGTAATCACTGCAGCACTCTACAGCTTAAAATATTAGAAAGAATGGCGGAAGTTTATTTTCAGTCTGATATTAATAGTTTAAGGCAGCACATTTGAAGGATTGAGGGTTTGGGCAGTTAAAATATTGGTCCGATAGCAAACCCACAGCCTCTGTGTGTACGGTATTTCTCATTTCACAAAAAGGAGGTGTTTACATAGAACGTTTTAAAGGCACAGCTGCAAAAATGAGCCAATTAATTGTACGGGTCAGAGAGAGGGTGATGAAAAAATTGCAGTTGCAAATTACTGGTAGACCTCCGGAAAAAAACAAAAACAGTTACAGTGAGCCATTTAATGGAATGAAAATAATGATGCACACCGCAATTTCTATATGAATTCTCTCACAGATTAAATCAATAGCCTCTTTGACAGAAATTAATTATTTATTTTAAACAGCCAATTATGGAGTATTACAGCACTGTAACACCCATTCCTCTTTCTTCAAGGGCTCCAGTACTGATGAGGAGTTTGATTCTTCAGTGGGTTTACTGGAAGACTGCAGACCCTGCAAGACTGAGTCATCACAACCCTATCAGACCCTCCCCGAGCATTCAGACGAGGTGAGATAACAGAACTTAAACTCTATTGTAGATATTACTCACTCAAAAGCTGAATTTTTAGCAGCCATTACTCCAGTATTCAGTATCACATGATTCTTCAGAAATCATTCAAATATTGTTGAAAACAATTTTTGCTGCTTATATTTTTGTGGAAACCGTGATACCATTTAAAAGTTTGGGTTCAGGTTTAAACAATTATAACTGTATTAATACCTTTATTCAGCAAGGACACATTACATTTGATCAAAAGTGACAGTAAAGACATTCATAATCATGTTACAAATGATTTCTATTTCAAATAAATTATGTTTTTAGAACTTTCTATTTATCAAAGAATCCTGAAAAACAATGTAGTACCGTTTCCACAAAAAAGGCAGCAAAAACCATTTTGCATTTAAGAACCATTATTACTAATTGAGAACCAGTAATGATTAATAATATCTGAGCCCCAAATCGGCATATTAGAATAATTTCTGAAGGATCATGTGACACTGAAGACTGGAGTAATGATGCTGAAAATTTAGCTTTGCAATCACAGGAATAAATTACATTTTAAAATATGTTATATTTTTAATCAAATAAATGCAGCCTTGATGAGCATAAAATACTTTTTTCAAAAACATTAAAAAATCTTAATTTTTCCAGACCTTTGACTTTTAGTGTATCTAAATACAGTGCAGCTATTTAATGCTAAATCCAAAAAGGGACAGAAAGGTTGCAGAACTGCTTGCAAGAACATCTTAATATAAAGGTAGAACATTAATATAGATTTTCATGAAGTGCCGTTTCAGTCCTCTCAAATGCAAACAGGAACATTTGGAGATCGATGGCTCTGGCACACTGCTACACAGCATCTTTCAATGAGAAGGACAATCATATTATATTGAAGTGAAACAGATTCACACTAGCTTAATCATATTAAAGGTGGTTTGTGCTGCACATTCAGTTTGTGCTCAGTGAATTAATTGCTGTGCTGTTTCAATATGCTAAATTACAGCATTTGGTACATGTGCCTGTTGGTTTGCTTTAGCGGTCATTCTTCAAACATTACACCTGTAACCAACAAATATATTTTGTTCCTTGTGAAAAAAAAAACTGTCGCTCTAAACCATTCTGTGTCTTTTTTTCCCCCAGAATGACTGTGACAGCAGCCGTGGCACAGATTTCGGTTTTAAAAAGAAAATGCTTTCTGCTGCTGGTAAAGATAGGACAGAGCGACAGAACGGAGTTCACGGAAAACGGGACAGCGGGAAAAATGGACACAGTGAAGATGGACAAAAATTACTGACCACTTGATGGCACTTCTGAAAGACTGAATACAATACGCTGCAGGTGCCATTATTAATGTCAAAAATTGTGTTGGCTTTCACAATGTATTATTGATGGATATAGTAATAAAGATAACTTGCAAAATTTTTTCATTTACATATTTTATTCAAAAACTGATTCAGGAACGTGTGCAAGGTGTCTGAAGAGTTCAAGATATGCTTGAATAATCTGGATTATAGATAACTGGACCATGAAGTGAAACTCGTTTCAAAACCAGGCTTAGCCAGCTTAAAGGGTTAGTTCACCCAAAAATGAAAATTAGCCCATAAATTACTCACCCTCAAGTCTTCCTAGGTGTATATGAGTTAAAAATTGTCTTTGAACTTTCAAGCTGTTTAAAGGGTTAGTTCACCCAAAAATGAAAATTAGACTGTTTTACTTACCCTCAAAGCATCCCAGGTGTATATGACTTTCTTCTTTCAGACGAATCCAGTCTGAGTTATATTAAAAATTGTCCTGGCTATTCCAAGCTCTATCACTGCAGTCAGCGGGTGTTGCAGTTGAACAGTCCACAAGTCGTCAAATAAAGCTCGCGCATTCATAATAAAACGTGCCGCAGACGGCTCCGGGGGATGAATAAAGGCCCCCTGTAGCGAATCCATGTGTCTGTGTAAGAAAAATATCCATATTTCAAACGTAATAAACACTTTTCTCTCACTTCCGCTGACTGTCATACACTGAAGCAGTTCCGGCGGATAAACACAGTCTAATTATTCATTTTTGGGTGAACTAACCCTTTAATGGCACTCAGCGGGTGTTGCAGTGCATCAATCCAAAAGAAGTTAAATAAAAAGAGCCCATCCATAATAAAAAGTGTCTCACACAGCTCCGGGTGGTGAACAAAGTCCTCCTGTAGCGAATCGGTGCGTTTTTGTAAGAAAAATAACCATATTTAAAACGTAATAATCACTTTAATCTAGCTTGCACTCACTGTTGTACACGGAAGCAGCTCCGGGTGGATGACGTATGAGGTCAGCTTTGCGCATGCGTGACGAGCGCGGAAGCGCAGGGGAGAGATAAAAAAAAAAAACGGTCACGAATTAGAAGTACAAAATTAGAAGTAAATTTAGAAGTACTTGTCATCAGCCCGGAGCTGCTTCAGTGTACAACTGTTGGCGCAAGCTAGATTAAAGTGATTATTATGTTTTAAATATGGTTATTTTTTTTACAAAAACGCATCGATTCGCTACAGGAGGACTTTGTTCACCACCCGGAGTCGATATTTACCCGGGGGCGCTTTTTATTTAACTTGTTTTGGACTGATGCACTGCAACCCCGCTGAGTGCCATTAAACAGCTTGAAAGATCAAAGACAATTTTTAATATAACTCCGACTGGATTCATCTGAAAGAAGAAAGTCATGTACACCTAGGATGACTTGAGGGTGAGTAATTTATGGGCTAATTTTCATTTTTGGGTGAACTAACCCTTTAATGACAGACTTACACTTGACAAAATAAATGACAAATTGGCATAACTCATATTAATCAGAGTATGTGGACATTCATATGCCACATTTATCATTAGATCTGTCATTACAGATTAGGTGAGTGTTCTGAGATGAAGCCTATGGCACAAGGATGACATATAACAATGTGTGGAGTGCTGTGGGACTGTACGAAAAAAATCAATGTCCTGAATGTGATTTTACAGCTTTGGGCAGAACCTGGATGAGCAACAGGAACTTCTGGGATGCTGCTTCAGAATCTACGGGCTGACATACTGTAGTCCGAACGAATGAGCCAGAATGAATCAGAAACATTTAGGCGACCGGTGCACCTAAAAATGATAATTTGTCCATCATCGATCTCCCGTACCTGAGACATTTCACATTGGACATCAAGACCTGATATCAGAATTCTTCTGAGCCGATTCAGTTGAGCTGGTTCACAAAGTGAACTGGGGCCGGTTGCATAAACTGCTTAGACTAGTCTTAAAGTTAGCCATCTAATTTTTTTTTCTTCTGGACTGGTCATAACTGTTTAAGGTTAGTTACAAAAATTTTGATTTGCCCGATTTTAATCAGAAAAGTGAGACTGGTTATCTCTGGGCTAAATTCTTGGACAAGTTCTTAAGATACAGTCTTAACAGTGTCTTAACTGGCCCCAGAATTATGCATTTTTGAATTTGAATGATCCGATTACAGCAATTAACAACTCACTGATTCAATGCTATGGTAAAAGCAATATTTCAATATTTAGACTGTGCTAACGCACGATAATTCATAATGTCAGATTTAGCTCTACCTTTTCTGTAAAACTGAGTAAGCAAAGGTGTATTTTATATCAAACAGCCAAAAGTAACTACTTTTGTACTTTTACTCAAGAAGAAATGTAAAATGAACACTTGAACCTTTACTAGAGTATGGACAATGTCATCGTTCAGATGAACCCAAATCGGAACTAACTAATTTGAGCTCGTATTGATGATCATTATTTATAATTAAGAAATAAATGATCTATTGTGGTAAAACATTAAAACGACATTGTTATATTTACAAAATAGCACTGCACTTGGAAACCTTTATTTTTAAGAGTGTGTGGATAGTACAGTGATTTAATGCTATTTGATTTAATAATTACCACATACACGTATTATATGTATTTATTTTCAAAGAAAACCATGGTATCACAATGATGTCGTGTACAGATATAGTATTGCTTGTGATATATTACATACTTGATGGTTAGTGAAAACTCCTACATTTACACTTCCAGCATTTCTTCTAAATTAAAAGTTCAACACAATCTCCCGTCCAATCAAGAGACGCTACATCAGACCACCCAATCGGATTGATTTTTACTGCAGCAAACAGACACTCTCGTGCAATCAGAAGACGCGTTCTTATAAACCAACATGGCGGCGTTGAGGTGAAGGGAATTGTAAACGAACAAAAACCTGATTCATTTACTGCATAAACTGGACTGTTTTGTGGTAAGCGGGATTTTAAAAATAAGAAATAATAAATTGGAATTTTATCACATTTTTACACGTTATCTATATACTGTTTACTATAAGTATGTTATATTTATGAGATGAGATTGGAGATCATGAGTATCATGAGCTGATATCTGACGTTCTCCTGTCATACACTGGGATGTGACTTTAAAATCAATTTATGCTGTTGATTAATTGATGTTTTGGTTTAGAGTTAAAAAAAAACAGACAGAATGAAGGTGGTGAATCTGAAGCAGGCTATCCTGCAGGCGTGGAAGGAGCGCTGGAGTGATTATCAGTGGGCCATTAACATCAAGAAGAACTGTCCTAAAGGAGCCACATGGGACTACCTCAATCTCGCAGGTCATATCTAAATGTTTCCCCTCATATTCAGTCAACAAATTACTGTATCATATTATACACAACCCAGTTTTAGCCATTTGGGAGTCATTGATTTTGAGGACACATGCACATGACAATGTTATACGCTGTGGTGTATTTTATTTGATTAAACATACAAGAAAAACAGTGATATTGTGAAATATTACCACCAAATTAAAATAATGGTTTCTGTTTTTGAAGTGTAGTTTATTCCTGTGATGGCAAAGCTGAATTTTCAGCAGCTATTACTCCAGGTTTTTTCATACATATACATACATACATACATACATATATATATATACACTGCCATTCAAAAGTTTGGGATCAGTAAGATTTTTAATGTTTTTTTAATGGAGTCTCTTTTGCTCATCAAGGCTGTATTTATTATGAGTCTTTACTATCACTTTTTATCCATTTAACACATCCTTGCTGAATAAAAGTATTCATTACTTTCAAAAAAAGAACGAAAAAAAATGACTGACTCCAAACTTTTGAACGGTAGTGTATATTGTAACACAGGATTTCCATTTTGAGTAAATGCTGTTTTTATATATATATATATATATATATATATATATATATATATTTATTCATAAAAGAATA